GGGGGAGGTGCAGGGGTGTGGGGGAGGCTGTGGGTGAGTGTGGGGTGTGGGTGGGTGTGAGTGTGAATACGGGTGTGGGTATGGGTATGGGTGCGGGTGTGGGTGTAGGATGTGGATGTGGAGTGTGGGTGTGGGTGTGGTGTTTGGGTGTGGGTGGGTATGGATTTGGGGCGTGGGTGTGGCTGTCGGTGTGGGTGTGGGTGTGGATATGGGTGGGGTGTCGATGTGAATGTCGGTGTGGGTATGAGGTGTGGGTATGAGGTGTGGGTATGAGGTGTGGGTGCTGGTGATCGAAGAAGGAAAACCCACACCCACACCCATACCCATACCCACAGCCACACCCATACCCATACCCACACCCATACCCACACCCACGCCCATACCCACCCACATCCTTGAGCAATTTTGGCACTGATGGTACCGCCGATCTACATTTTCTGTAGACTACCTATAGACCAATTTTCAGACGTTTAGCTCTTATAGGAACTAAGGTTCGCGGAGGGATACTTTTGGCCAGTATTGTATATGAAAACAATCAAATTCATTTCTAAAAAATAAGAAACATTTCTATTATTTTGATATATCTTTATTAAATAAAAGACTTATTTATAAAAATTCTAGAACAATACTTATCAGTATTAGAGAATTTGAAAAAAATTTCAAATGATCTATACGAATGTTTAAAAACAAGTGGACTTGCAATGTTTGTCAATTTTTTAGGATTTTAGAAAGAAAATTACTACATTTCAAAATGGAATTTTTTTTATAATCACAAATTGCTTGAGGAGGAAACTTATTCAAATTTTCTAAAGAAATAAATCAATGTTATATAAAAATCCAATCATTTATTAATATTCAATATTTTTTATGGTATTGCAAGAATTTATCAATTGACAAAAAGATTTTATTCTCACAATAAATTAGTTTTAAAAAAAGCGATTGATTATTCTATTATAAATATAGTAAATTCTACATATTCAATTCTTATTTATAAACTTTTAACTTACGAAAAACTTTTCTTTATATTTAATGAGAAATTATTGACAATTGATTATATCAAAGAAATGATCGATACTTTCACTAAAAATACAAATCATTTAAATAAAATTGATTATTTTATTCGAAAAATTTATAAAATAACAGTTTAATATGATAATATTCACAATAATAATGAAATTGTGTGTATATTTAATCATCGAATTAAAATTTTCAATAAAATTACTCTAGATAATGAAAAATGAATATTTATTGAATCTAAAGGTATATTTAAAATATTTAAAAGAGAAGACTATTATTATCAACCTGCATTAAATAATAATTGTAACATTTATTTAAAATTCTGTGCAAAAATTGTTAATATTATTTCCAAAAAAGAGTCTAACCGATTTGGATATGAAATAAAACAATGGAATTCATTTGAAAATTGTTTATTTTAATCAACAGATTGAATCTATTCAGGATGATCCATAAATTTTGTTTCTTACTTTACATTTCTAATTTTAACATGAAAAGTAAACATGCTCTTTTCAGCAACTAGCGAGACTTATTTTTTTGTGATTTTTGGGACTTATTAATAAATATCTATGCATTTGAAAATAAATCGCACACAGTTCCTTAGTACATGCACACATATCTGCAATGCGGGTGCGCTGGATTATTGACACAACTCAGTGCATACATGCATACCCACAGTGTGGGTGCACCGAAATACTGATACAGTTAATAAATCCTCATTAAATAAACAAATCCCAATAAGTTCTGCAGAAGAAATAAATCCCAAAAAAATAAATACCGGTAGCTTCTCGCTCTTTTTAGTACCAATTAGGTGCTTTTAAACACATTTTATTTTCTTTCATTTTAACACATCGACGAACACGATTGGATATGTCCATTCATCATACAACAACAAAATGACGATTTTCTCCAACATTGTATATATAAAAGAAAGAGAGAAAACGAAAATAACCGATTTCTTGTATGCATAAAATTTGTCAATAATTTTTAGTTGTTTATTCTCCAACAGCATCAGAAAGAGATAATTTTAATAATAATTTTTTCCAAAATGATACTGACAAAGAAAATAGTAATTGCGATCATTGAACTACGACTTAATGAATAGTGAATGAACGTTTTGTTGATAGATATTCGTTACTTTGTGCTAATTATATAATAAATAGATATTTAAAAATAAAAGCCTATTACATAAACATATCTTGATGCATTAAAAAAAAAAGACAAAACGATTTTCGGAAGTCTAGTTTTAAAATCGTTCCTGTGTTAAAATAATTCAGATAACATTCTTTGAAATATTCTTTAGAAAGAATTCATTCAGTATGTAATCGTCTGACAGTTCGTGCTCGCCACTGGCATGTGCGAGAAAGATAAACATTTCATATTTCAATTCTAATCAAACATTCTCACTGCTGAAGCAAGACATAGTATCACTGATTTTTTTATCAGGTGTAGCAATGGGGATCTGTCGATAATTTCTTCAAATCACAAAAGCTGATACAATGAAATTTAACAGATTCTTTGATCGATTCCTACTAACCCTTCGCGAATAAATTTATCAGCCGATCTTTCAAACAAACTTCCTGTGTGATATACATAAGACGGAGTGTTCTTCAATTCGTTCATGGAATGGTTTCTAATCGATGTCATTCAGCACACTTTGATAGACATTCATGATGGAATGCATCGATTGATCTATTCAGTAGTCAATTGAATCGATCTATCACATCGATGGACTTTATCTAACAATATCATATAATTGCTGTTAGATGCGATTGATTAAGAGAGCACGGAAAATTATAGTTGGATCGGTCAGTTCAAATAGTGTTGATAAGCAAAGGTATTTTAAGATTTGTTTATTCAAAAAAATAGGATACAAAAGTATCGATAAACACGCAAAGAAATAACAGATGCTGAGATACAATAGACATCATGTACAAGGTGAAGATCAACAAAGAGTATTCGTGTTGCTAACTATCAAAATATGTCCATTTTTACAAACACGATGTAAGAAAATGAGTCTTCTCTAATGAAAAGTTTCACATGCTACCTGGATTAATGTTTGGTAGATTGCGTAGAAGCCTTTGCCACAGATTAAGACTTTACAGGACCCAAAAGTTCTCTCCTCTGCCTTCGACACTTTGCCATAAACAAGTTGTGTTACCATTAAAACTGACAGGTATGATTTGTAGATAGGCGGCTCGTCGAGCGCCGATAAGATACACGCAAATTCGACTGTTCGATTGAGATGGATCAGATATTACTTGTTGATTCAACGTCAACGAATATAACATATTAAAATCATCTTCATCACTAATAATCAATCCATAATCAAAAGGCGATGATTCGGAGATAATAAATGGATTTTGAATAAGAGAATGATTCTTGCTACCGTCCACAAAATATATGCCATGTTCGTTTTCTGTCATAACATGGAGTGTGCCATACCATGTACCATTCAGACTAACGATTGTGTGCCAAGTATGAACTTCATTATATTGTCGATCATCACTTTTTCGTACAAATCGACCGTCGATTATGATTAACGTAGTAAGTACAATGGTAAATGTAAAACTTATTCTGATGAATAACATTTGAGCAGTTCAATTCGTAATCTGATCAAATAAAGAAAGACACAAAGAAAATTCTACCATAGTCTTTAGTTCAGATTACAACATCGTATAAACTGAATCTTCGCTCAACATCAAAACGTTTGCCTAAGGAACTTAGGAATTCTGTGTATCAAAACACACTACATGCGTGCCTTTATTCAGACTTGTAAGCTGAGGATGATATAAGAGTCCTACTTGGGTATGCAGCTTCAAAGAGAAAAACAGAATCAAGCAGTAGACTGAGCTGAACATGGGAGAAGTGTTATTCGATGTATCACCAATGTTTTCCACTGCACTATAAACAAAGTAGAAAATGAGTTAATATTATCGAACGAATTCAGCTTCAAAGACTATATTGTAACTTCAGAGAAATTCACATTCGAATGAGAATTTTCTTATCTAGAATAAGGGTGTTACTTTATTTTGATTGTTCTTTATAATAAAAAATAAATGTAAATAAAACCTTTATATTTATAAAATAAAGATAAAATAAATAATAAAGAATTTTTTTTCTATGAGAACCTAACTTTTTAATTTTTACTAGGTAGCTCACAATAAATTATCATATCATAAATACAAATCAAATATCTAGAAAAGTTTTTTGCATATATTTTTTCATATGTCAGCTTCCATTTTTATAATATTACATATTGAAGTGAGGCTGCTGATAAGAAAAGTTATTGATTAACATATCCTCTTACTATATTAAGTATTTGTCTAGTTACCTATCGCAGACAAAAAATTTTCTTTATTCTTTATTTTATAAATATAAAGATTGTATTGATATGTAGTTTATAAAGTAACACCCCTGTCTAGAGCATCTGTCATACTGGCAAGAAAACGACGCTATCTTGTTTTGATAATCTTAGAAATGAACGAAAAGATTTAATTAACGAAGGCAGCCTCAAACTAGACTAGAACTAGAATTCATGTGACCATGATGACAAAAACGAAGAATATCACCAGCTGATCAAAGAAAGAAACGATTCAACTAATAAGACCATAGTTCGAAAGATGTCACATCCAAGCAGAGAATGGAGAGTGCATTTACTTATTTCATACCACCGTGGTTATATTGTGAATTCTGTTCATTGAATGTGAGTTTTATGAGTTTACGTGATTTTTGTGAGTTTTGCTGATTCAAGGGTGGGTGTGGGTGTGGGTGGGTGTGGGTGTGGGTGGGTGTGGGTGTGGCTGTGGCTGTGGCTGTGGCTGTGGCTGTGGCCGTGGCTGTGGCTGTGGCTGTGGTGTGGCTGTGGC